GTTCATATAAATTTGGCCAAATAGATGTATAAAATAGAGCAAAATTTAAAAATTTACTATATAAAAAAACAATGTTTAATGATTTTCTATACAAAATTTCCTTTTTTGATAACATATGAGTTATATTAGAGTTCTTCAGGGTCCTGCTTTGCCCTTACTCTACCAAGATTTTATATACAAAGGCACTACCTTCAGGTTTATTGTTACCTTGCTAGTTAACTTGTATAGTAATGCTCCTGGCTTGCATGCCAAACATCTTTTAGAGGAGTCCTGCAAAGTAAACATTGACCTCTAGACAAACCACTATATCAACTACGACTCTTCAACAAAAATTTGTTTTTCTGTTAGTAAGAAATTTTTGGTTTAAGTGATTGTCAAAAAAAGTTTTTGAAAAAAGATATTTTTTAAAATGCATAAAATTAATATAATAAATAAATAAATAATAAATTAATAAATAAAATTTAATTACAACTCTTTCTGACGATCACTTGAACCAAATTTTTTGACAAAAAGAAAAACCTATTTTCGATACTGGAGAGTAGTAACCTGTAGTGAGGTGAATTAACAGGGTGATTTTTATAAAGATTAACCTTTTTGCTATTTCAAGGACTCCTTTATATATTTAATATGCAAGCCAAAAGCATCTGTATACAAGATAACTGGCAGAAAATAGTGCTCTCATATATAAAATTTTGGTAAATAGGTGGAGGTGATAGAAGTCCAAGCCTACCGTCGATGAAGCTATCGGTTGTGAAACAACTGGGAAACAGTAAAGAACAGGCTTCTTTCAAGCTATACTCCTTTTTATTGACCAAGTGGTATCTATTATCCTTTTTCTGCTTCCCTGCCTTTCTTCCAAAATTTTTCGACAAAAAGTGGGGATTTGGCTTACCTTCTTCAAAAGATTGGTATTGTTTACTTCCCAAATTCAGACAGGCTAGTAGATTGCAATCATGTGTTTGTTTATGGACGGATATGGCGCTACTGTATAGAACTCGGCCCAGGAACTCTAATTACAGTAAAAGGGAGCTTTAATATAGAGCCTTGGACAACGGAGCTATCCGAATTCAATAGGAAGGTCGGAAAGAAAATTTTAATGCCAAGGTGGAGCTTTATCTTTACAAAAAAGATATACAAATATTGTATTTGTTATATAATTTTTACCAATCTTGCACGGGTTATAATAGTGCCTTTAGGGTCTTAGTTTTCTTTTCATGTTTTTTCTTTTTCGAAATCTGTGTTTATTTTTCTTTTTGTTTGTTTGTTTTTCTTTTTAGTTATTTTCGTATTTGTTTTTTGATTTAAACTTTTCACTCTTTTGTCTCGTGCCCTTTAAGAAAAAGGAAGAATTAGAAGAGAAAAGAGGTCTTGAGGTGGGAGCTGAGCCCCGGCTATATTATATCTTTAAATATGGTGTACTATATGTGGGGTATAGTGGCCAAAATCAGTATGATAACCAAGATTGGGTATAATGTTGTTAGCTAAAATTGTTTTATACTTGTAGAAATATTTTGACATTTGATATTTAGTCTGCCGAAATGTCTAAATATTGCTGAAATTCTAAATTATGCTAAAATGTCTAAATAATGTCAAAATGTTTAAATAATATTGAAATGTCTAAATTAAGAAATATATATAAAAAAACATAACGATAAGGGAATTAGGGCTATTAATTAGTTCTGACTAAAACCGCCGGTCCTGTGGTCCTCCTTAGAACTGGTCTTTTATGAGCCAGACAGACCAAAAAGACTATCGGTCTGAATATAGTAGCTTTAAATTATTGTAATGAACATGTGTAGCCTAATTTTTTGTGTATGCAAGGTTAATTTTTTTAATACTATTATATCTAAATATTATAAAGCTGTTGCAGTAATTGTTAAAATACTGTAATGCTGCAAATAGCATAGAATAACATATGATAAAATTCTGCTAGTATTTATTGTTTAAAGCCATTTTTAGAATTAAGATATTTACTGATTTTGTGAATAGGAAATTATTGATCATTAAAGTTCATAGCAAAAGATCTTAATTTTTTTTTTACTATTTAGTCAAGGTTATTTCTTATAGCTATGAGTTTGTTTTTGAATTATCCTAAAATAAAAAGACTTGTTTTTGGACAGTTTAAAATTTCTAAATTGTTTTATATTTTTACTAATGCGAAAGCAGACATAAATTCTCAAGCTGCAGATCTACAACGTACATAGCTATTTTATTTATGATTAAATTGGTAATAGTAAAGCAAGTTATGTTATATTCTGTCATGGGTGATGAATAATTATGATTGGTCATTAATTTAAGAAATCGGTGTTAAAAAGAATGAACACAAAGCATTCAAATATTATCAAAAATCTGATAGTAATTTAATTTTAAACTATCACAACCCTATTCTAACTTAAGCTAAATGTTTAATCATATTAAGTTGCAGTGTAATAAGTATAAGAGGTTGTTAATTTACTTTTTAAACTATATAAACATATATTGCCAAATAACTGTTTAATTTGATATTCGTAATTCCAAATTTGATCTTTATCTCTTAAAAAATATGTTAATTTGAAAGACCTTAACAAAAAATCGCAAACACTGCACTTTCTTAAACTATACTGATTACTACAGTAATAAATTAGTAATACCAAGAGAAATATGACTTCAATTATCTAGAATTTATATGATTGAAGTTTTATTTTCATATTTAGTCAACCATTTAGACATTTAGTCACATAATATTTATTTAGTCAACTATTTAGTCAAATTTAGACTTTTGACATGTCGAAAAAAAATAATGCCATGTCAAAATATATTTAGACACAAATTGTCTAAATGGTTGACTAAATTAAGTATTTCGACTAACAACATTAGTCCCTATTTCTCAAAAAGGATTGGGTACTCTAAGTAAAAATGTTCAGAACCCCCAAAAACCTCACAGGAACTAAGATCAGGACATTATATTAGCTCTATATTATATTATATATAAAAAAAAATTTTTTAATACCCGCACCCTAACCCTAAATTTTATTAAAAACAATTATATAATAATTGTATATATAATATATATATATAATATATACAGTATATTTGTAATATTAAGGTATTTCAATAAATCAAAACCTTGATATATCGAACTAAAACTCCTAGCTCTGGAGCTTCGTTATATTGAATTTGCGATGTGAGAAAAAAAAAAAAAAAAAAAAAACAGAGAATAAAAAAAGTGAACATAGAAAAATATTTATAAAAACTACAAGACTAAAAACACAAAATCAGGACTCAATTTTGATTAGCTGATTACCTAAAAAATATTTTCTTTGCAAATATTAAAAATATTCTATGATATAATAAAATTTTTTTCGTTATTTTTAATTTTTTAGAAAATAAATAATATATATTTAATGCAGAAAAACCCACAAATCGTACTTTTTGAATATTTACTTTTAATAAAAATAACTTAAAATCAGACAATTTAATACCTATAATTTTAATATCGTTTGAATCATCTTAAGAACAGTAGGTACTAAATTGCCTGATTTTAAGTTATTTTAATTAAAATTTAATATTCAAAAAGCACGACTTGTAGGTTTTCCCTTGGCGACTCTCATATATAATAATATTTATACAATATTTTACGGTAAATCTATTTGTTACCGCTACTGAGCAACCAGATTAAAATTTTCAAATTTAAATAACTCAGAATTATGTCCTTTCATAATTTAATAGAATAGTTTTACCATATAATATGACTTATCTAACCATTAATCTAACTTGCACTGCCTTTACAAGCGCATTTTATATTTTAACTTTCGATCTTATTGTCGAAAAGCAATTTGATTCCTGGTTGAATTAAGAAATTCTTTGCGCAATCGAAACCTATGCCGGATGAGTTTGGAACCGGATTAATTTTTGTTTAAATCTCGGGTTTATAATTAATAAACATCTGTATTTATCTTATTTTTTATGTATATACATACATATATGTATTCGGTCTTATTCTACATATTTAGATTGGTCAGATTCAAAAAGAGCGATAATAATAAGTTTAAAAGCAACACTGTACGTACGAATAAATATTTACTTCTTATAGTATCTGACAGCCTACAAGATCTCTAATAAATTGAAACAATGGTTTTATCATAATATTCATCATTACGAAAATTCTACGTCCGTGTGTCTGCACTATGGTTTTAAGTCAAAATACAAAGCTATAGGAAGATATTCATGCGATTACGTAACCATATTATCAACGAAACCTTGATCTTTATTAGTTATAACTTTTAAACGGTTGCCTTATTTTTTTTTACTTTTACTAGCGATTGTGACAAAACGTGAGACTGATAATGATCGTTATCTATAACCAGTTAACGCTTTTTAAATTTAAAGAAGACTTTAACGTCCCTAGCGCTAGAAAAAATTCAATCTTGAAAAAAATTTTGAGCCCATTATATCGATATTATTATATGATCCCTCTAATTCATCCACAAATCCGTAACTGAACGATTCGCTGGGATGTTAATTGGCCCGTTCTAGTCTTTGTTGAGACCAATCCTGTTATGTATCAATATAAATAAAAAATCTAACGCTAAATATACCAGATGTGATTGTCAATTTTAAGTGACACAATTAGAATCATTCTAAATACCAATGTTCAATTTAAAGTTTAATAAACTTTAGGAATAACTCAGTTTTTATAAACATTTGGTATTGGAATTTTTTTTTATCGATATGACTTTTATTGCAGTTCCCGTGGTATCGGTAAGGTCATGCAATTTGCTAAAATTGGATTTAATTATGTATTTTTGTATAAAAGTTCGCGGTTTGTGGAGATTTGGTGTGATTTACTTAATCTAAACTCTTATTTGTTCTCTTATTTGTTCCCATTGAAAACGCGTATAAATCCGTTAATAATTGAAACATTTACTCCATTGTTACGTAATTTATTAAATTGAATCGGAAAAAAACTGCCGAAATTATCAAATTATCAATATGTCTTCTCTTTTACTTAGTCATGAAGAACGTTGTGAAGGTCCATGGGTTAAATTACAGTCGGAACCTTGTAATTTATCTTTTAATTGCTAAAAAAATCGCTTATTTATTGATATTTTTTTAAATGGATTGTAATATAAAGTGTTTTTTTTTTATTCGCTTCCGAAGCTCTTTTTACAGCTTTGATGTATGATTTGGGTGTTAAAGGTGCTAAAGCAACTGAAGTATTTGTTCTTGACCAACAAGATAATTTTGATGACCTCGGGTAATTTAATATTAATAAAAAATATACATATAATCTGTTTTCGATTGTTGTTTTAATAAAATTCTTTTTTTTTTAGAGAAATCTACGGTTTGGTTTTTCTTTTTAAGATGATAGGCGATGTAACAGGAGATGTAAAAGGTTTACATAAAGGTACCGATTATGAACCTCTTGAAGAATATCCCAAGAACGTCTATTTTGCCAATCAGGTAGTATTTTCAAATCAATTTTTTTAAACCAATTATTTTTTTTTAATTTTATTATATTACTTTTTTTAATTTTTAGGTGGTAGAAAATGCTTGCGCTACTCTTGCTGTGTTGAATATCGTCCTGAATTGTCCACAATTAGAAACTGATCAAGAATTAAAAGAATTTAAAGAATTTACTTGGGATCTTCCACCAGCTGTATATTTCATTTGTTAAAAACTATATATGTATATATTTTTTATTATTTTTTCAAATTGATATTAGATATTAAAATTTCGCTCTCAAATATTTATTTTATATGCTTAGAGTAGAGGTTTTGCTATAACCAATCATCCGTCTTTACGCCAAATTCATAATTCAATGGCCAGGTTAGTAATAAAACATGTAATATTTGTCGATATTTAAATGAGTTATAGCATCTTTATGTGTTGTTTTTTTTTTTATAATAGACATCCGGAAGATTCATTAATAGTTGAAGAACCGAGCAAGAATGGAGGTTCTGAAGATGAAGGTGGTGAAGTTTATCATTATATCGCTTATGTTCCTATTGATGGTGAAGTTTGGCAATTGGATGGATTATATCCGCATCCAGTTAGCTTAGGTATGCCTTACCAAATGCTATTTAATTTAATCATGACTTTTTTTTGACGCTGTGTTATTTGTTTCATATTAGGCAAATATTCTAATGAAAAACAATGGTATGATGCTGCTCGTGGTGTTATCCATGAGCGCATTGACGGGTAAGTGATTACTATAATTGAAAGGATTTTTATAATATAAATAGTTTTGTAGTTATTTTATTTTACAGATTTCATGCAGAACAAGTAGAATACGTTCTTCTAGCTATAACTAAAGACCAAATAGGCATTCATCAAGATAGAGTTAAAGATTGTATGTACATTAAAAAACTTGCAGAGAATAGGCTAGATGAGCTTAGTAGCACTTGGAGAGAGATCAATACCGAAGATGCAAGTTTTTTATTTATTAGTAATTATTGGTAAATTTTTATTGATATTCATTAATTATCTTCTTTTAACTTTTTTAGGTCGATTTTCCTTTTACTGATGATGACGAAGAAAAGGTTAAAAAGCGTGGGAATTATGTGATCGATCTTTCAACTTTGACTGCGTATCATGATGATATCGAAATGATTGAACAATTAAGAGCCAAGATGATAGATGAAATTAAATTTTTGATGGAAGCTATTGATAGAGAAAATAAGCTGAAAACGGTAAATTCTTAATCAAACATAGTTTTATTAATTAGTTTAATTTTAATTTTTTATTTTCTTTTAGGTTGAAAGAGAAAGGCGAACATTTGATTATGGCCCATTTATACGGGAATTTATTTCAATTCTTCATGAACGAGGAGAATTGAAAGGCTTGATTGCGGCTGCAGAAGACATGATAGAGGATGAATAGGATAATCGTAAATTGTTATTTTTCTTTTATTCTATTTTTTGTCTGTAGACTATTTTTGTTAAAGAATTTTTTAATATTAACTTGATATTTACTTATATATTAGATTATTCTTGCTAAATTTTTTATTTGTTATGTACAATTTCTTTTTTTAATTGCCTGTTATTTTTTGTTTTTTTTGATGGATACTATGTAGTTTTATTTTTTTTTCTTTTACATATATTTCGAAGAGGTAGAATAATAGTTGTCGATATAAAGTTCAAAATTTTGAATATCATAATTCCTGAGTACTAATAAAGATGTGATATTCCAGTCATTAAGTTATTTTCGTAAATTGAAATTTTTCTAAACTGAAAAAAAAACTTTGCGTTAAAGACGTTTAACGAATATTTAGTTGTTGAGCAGATTACTACCGAATACAAAATAGGTTGATATCTTTTAAGGTCTAAAAAATTTAAAAATTTTTAATTATCGCTGTTTTTGAAATGGTTGAAAATATACTAACAAAAATTTTTTTGTGAATATCACGAATACGTACTCGATTTTTGAGCAATGTGATTATTATGCCAATGTAGAGGTTGGATCCTTTGAATATCCATCATGACTAATCAGTAAATATTCGCGGGTTTTGATGTTTACGAATAGCATTGAATGAATATCCAGATTTTGAATGGATATCCATCTA